ACATGATTGGTTTTAAAATGTGAGGACATGTGATTTGGGTTAGGCAATGGCTGGAATGAGATGGCTTGGCTGTGTCCCCACCCAAATCTCATCTTGAGTTGTAGCTCTCACAATTTCCATGTGTCATGGGAGGGGCCTGATGGGAGGCAATTGAATCATGAAGACAAGTCTTTCCCATCCTATATTCATGATAGTGAATAAGTCACACAAGATCTTATGGTTTTGTAAGAAGGAGTTCCCCCCCACAAGCTCTCTTCTCTTGTACACCACTGTGTAAGAAAGACAATCAGGCCTTCCACCATGATTGCAAGGCCTCCCCAGCCACATGGAACTGTGAGTCCATTAAACCTTTTTCACTTGTAAATTGCCCAGTCTCATAGGTATGTCTTTGTCAGCAGCATGAAAATGGACTAATACAGACAGACATTTGAAAAAGAAGGAAACAAACCAAGAAGAGGATGCTACAAATTACCTTTTAAATCTCAATGATAAGCACATATATTTCAATTCATTGACTCTAGGCAGAACCCTGTGGAATGACTAGCTAGCATTGTCAACATTTAACTCAAATTCTAGAAAACCTAGGATATAACCTTCTTAACATCAACCATGGTGAAGAATTTTTGGTGATGTCCCCAAAAGCAATTGCAATAAAACAAAAATTGACAAGTGAGACCTAATGAAACTAAAGAGTACCTTCACAACAAAAGAAGCTATCAACAGAATAAACAGTCTACAGAAGGGGAAAAAATATTCACAAACTCTGCATCTGACAAAGGTCTAATACCTAGTATCTATAAGAAACTTAAACAAATAAACAAGCAAAAACAAATTACCTCATTAAAAATGGGCAAAAGATATGAACAAACACTTCTTAAAAGAAGAAATACAAGTGGCCAACAAACATGAAAAAATGTTCCACCTTACTAATCATCAGAGAAATGCAAATCAAATGTCTCATACCTATCAGAATGGGTACTATTAAAGAGTCAAAAAACAGCAGATGCTGGCAAGGCTGTAAAAAAAAGGGAATATTTATACACTGTTGGTGGGAATATAAACTAGTTCAGCTGTGATAGAAAGCAGTTTGGAGATTTCTCAAAGAATTTAAGACAGACTATTCAACACAGCAATCCCATTACTGGGTACATACCCAAAGAAAAATAAATTATTATACCAAAAATATACATGCACTCATATGTTTATTGCTGTGCTATTCACAATAGCAAGACAGGTAATCAACCTAGGTGCCTGTCAACAGTGGATTTGATTTTTTTTTTAAATATGGCACATATACACACCAGGGAATATTATGCAGCTGTGAAAAATGAAGTCATGTCCTTTACAGCAACATGAATGAAGCTGGAGGCCATAATCCTAAGCAAACTAATGAAGGAACAGGAAACCAAATACCACATGTTCTCACTTACAACTGGGAAATAAACATTGAACACACATGGACATGACCATGGGAATAATGGACACTGCAGACTACTAGAGGGGGGAGGTTGGGAGGGGAGCATAGTGGAAAAACTACCTATTGGGTGCTGTGCCCACTACCGGGGTGCAATATATCTATGTAACAAACCAGCAGATGTATCCACTATATCTAAAATAAAAGTTGAAAATTTTTGAAAATCAAATTAAAAATAAAAATGTCATTCTTCTCTTAGAAATTACTAAAAAGAAAGTTAAGTACCCTGTTAGTTAAACTTGGGCTCTGCCTCTACAGGTTGAAATTTCCGTTCCTCCACTTATTAGCTTGTGATATTGGGCTAGTTACTTTTTTCACCCATAAAATGGAGATAATATTACCTAAGTCATAGGATTGTTGAGATAATTAAATGCACCAACATAATATAATATGTATATTATACTGTGAATGCTTATTTATAGTAAGCAATATGAGTCTACTGAAAACTAACCCAAAAGTAATATTTAATTGATAATTTATAACAAGTTTAATGATTAGTAACGAACATGGAGATTTTCTATTTTTTGTTTTAATTCTGAAGGTATAATTTTAGAATATGTTAGGAAATGCTCATGGTAAATTGAAAGTTGATTGAAACTATCATCTGAAGTGAAATTAAAATATTAAACATGAAAGCTTACAAAGGACCTGCCCAGGACTATCTTTTTCTCTAAATGTGATGAGGAAGAGAAGAATTCTGACTTTTTTTTGCATTTATTAAACAGTACTGAAAATAAACAGCTATGGAAAAAGAGAGATGCCAGACTTCTGGGAACAGGATACAAATCTCACCCAAAGAAGTCATTTGGTATTTCAATCTTTCATAAGAGAGATAATGGAGGAGTCCAATTGAGTGAATCACTCAATTAACAAAGTATAGGAAAAAGTAGGTGTATGGCTATTTCTAAAGGAAAATTCAAACAGAGATTCACATCAAAACAGAAAGAATCCCTGCATCCCTGCAATACAGAGAAGAGGGTAACAGAACCCATAGAGAAGAGATCCAAGGTTCATGACAGCCCAAAGAGCAAAGATACAAATTGAATCTATTTGACAAGGCTTCCACATTGTGTTTCTTGCTAATGGAGAAGTACGAATGGCGAGCATGACTGTAGAACATATTGTGGAATGAGTGTAGGTGAAACATAGGGTATTGTAGTAATTAAGCATCTGCTTTACCTCAATTCTTAAGCCTACCTGTTGGTGTGACCTGACACCTCATGCAAATCCTCCAAATCCTAAATTAATATTGCATGAATTTGGCTTTAAAAAACCATAACCATTCAATGTTTCCTACTGTTTCCTTTCTCTTTCCTGCCCTCCTTCCTTCCTTTGTTCCTTCCTCCCTCCCTCCCTCTTTTTTCTCACTTTTTCTTTCTTTCTTTCTTTTTTATATTTTTCATATTTTTCCTTTCTATTATCAAATCAGTGGTATTACTTCCCTTATTCCTTCCTTCATTCTTTCCTTCCTTCCCTTCTTTCTTTTCCTTCCTTCCTTCCTTCCCTTCTTTCTTTTCCTTCCTTCCTTCCTTCCCTTCTTTCTTTTCCTTCCTTCCTTCCCTTCTTTCCCTCCCTCCCTCCCTCCCTCCCTCCCTCCCTCCCTCCCTCCCTCCCTTCCTTCCTTCCTTCCTTCCTTCCTTCTCTCTTTCTTTCTCTCACCTTGTTGCCCAGGCCAAAGTGCAGTGGTGTGATCTCAGCTCACTGCAACCTCGAACTCTTGGGTTCAAGCTATTTTCTTGCCTCCACCTCCCAAGTAGCTGGGACTACAGGTGCACACCACTACGCCCAGCTAATGGTTGTATACCTAGTAGAGATAGGGTTTCACTATGTTAGCCAGGCTGTTCTCTAACTTTTGACCTCAAGTGACCTGCCTGAGTTGGCCTCCTAAAGTGCAGGGATTACCTTTCCCAGCATGTTTCCTTTCTTTATCCATAGGTGTCACTGATATCCAGAACAATGGCATTGCCCACTGATTCTACCTCTGTAACTTACTTCCCCAGCTGCAGACACTCCCATAAATATATCAATGTTTATAGGACAGGACACGTTTTTGGTGGCTATAAATTTGATATTAAAAAAATTATTTGTGGAATATGAAATATAAAAAACTGGAAACCTGTTTTACAATACCGTAATTCTATAGACATGGATATGCATTTTCTCATTCAATATGCTTTAATAATTTAATAGTAAGTTATTAAAATTTTAAAATAATTATTAATAGTAAAACATTAATGATAGATATTTACATCTATTTGCCCATTAATTTGTTCAGCAAATATTTATGGAGTGCTGATTATGTTTAAAGCATTGGAGACCCTTTCTGAGGGTCGCAGAGACCTTTTGTCAATTACTATGTGCATATTGAAGGACTGATGCAAGCATGCATTTTATGAGTGTTGAAGGAAGCCTAGTGAAGTTCACTAACTTAGTGGTCAATCTAGTATCAAATTATCATCTCTGAAATTCACCTCTGAAAATCATCTCTGAATTCCACCTGTCAGGGTGGAATCTTTGCCACCCTGACAGGTTGCAGAAGCTAATAAGGAAGTCTGGACTCTAAGGAGCTGAGGACTCCAAGGAATTATAGCCATGGTTCTGGCATCTGACAGCCCTCTAGACTGGGAGACGTCCCCTAACTTCTGTTTGCCTCAAATTCCTTGCTTTAAAGTGGGAGTTAACGATACTTGTGATTATTGTTCTGCTTAGCCACAAGACTGTCTTGGCTATTACAGGAAATAACATACATAAAGATGTTTGGAAAATAGTATAAGTCTAAACAATGGTGAAATATTATTATCAAATATTATATGATAATATCATGGATGTTTAAAATATCATTATTTTAACTGTATATAGTTATGCCAAGGAATCTTCTTTTTTCCTATTCTTTGCACATGGAAAGCCCCATTTTGAAAAACAATATCCAAGTAATTCATATATTTTTTCTTCAAAATGTAATGGGAAGAATTGTAGAGAATAGGGACGTTTTCCCAATATTGAGCTTGTTTTCTTGTTCTCCCACAAGGAGACCCTGGGTCTTCTAGAATGGAGGCGGGTGTCTCTGCAGCTATTTACCTCTCAATCTGCATTTGGCCCCCAAGTACCCACCATAAGGGACAAGTAAGCACAGCGAAAGAGAAAACGCTATAAAGGCTTACTTTTGTCAAGATTGCTGAAAGGAGGCTTGTTTTAAAACACATAAACACCCTCCTTCCACACACACACAAAATCAAAACCAGTTAGGACACAATATAACATAGTGTTTAATTAACCTTTTCTAAAATCTTAACTATTGAACTTGGCAACATGAAATAATGCTAACAATTTTTATACAAAAACATTGATTTGAAACACAGAGATTAATTAATCCAGAATGCTATCATAACTCCAGAAATTTTTAAAAATCCAATGGAGATTGACTCCACTAAAGACATCTCACTAGCAGTCCTCTGGCACATCAGGTACCTGGTTACTGACAGACAGTACAGCAAACAAGCCATCTATAAAACAGAACTGAACTTACCGATACATCATGGACAGGAGGAAGAATATGATCTCACAGATCTGCACCCACTTAACTCCACTTTCTAATCAGCTATATGACATCTCTAGATGCATAGGAAGTCTATGGCTCAAAGAAATAAGGAAACAAATTACAAGTCGTCGAAATGAAACTAGTTGGACAAGTCTGAACAGAGACGTTTCAACCCATAGAATACCTTGAAGAAAGCCAGAGACAGCATAGTCCCTACCAGAAAGCAATATATTTTTTTTGTTCTGGACTAATTTTATTAAAGGAGAAGAAACTGGTTACAAAGATTTGAATGAAAAATATCTTAGGAATATGCTAGAATTAAGAGTTTAAAGAAGATTATTGGTAAGTATACAAGTATCTTAAACTTTCACATAAAAGCTCTTGATAAAAACACTCAGATCTTCTTAAAACCTAAATACATATATAAATATGACTCAAGAAATACTCTGTAAATTCTTGTTGAGCAGCAGGTATCTCTGTATCCACTATATCTAAAATAAAAGTTGAAAATTTTTAAAATGAAATTTTAGTTTTTGAAAATAAATAGTACTCATCAAAGGCCAGTCATTAATACTTTACATGCATTATCTTATTTAATACTTCACAACAGTGGGGAGGAATTAACCTCATTTTACAGAAATGAAAACTGAGGCTCACAGATGTGAAATAATTTGACTAGTCTCATATTTCTGTAAACGATAGAGCCAGTATTTCAAAACCTCCAGGTTTTTCTGACACCACAGACTCTCCTCTTTATCAATTAGAATTACTATATGAATGGTGCTTGATACAAATCTAGCTCTAAAAAATAATAGTTTATTTTCCCCATCACTACCTGATTGTGGACGTTGTGGGTGGGGAAAAAGCAGCCCTTGGCTACTATTTAAGTCTATCTTTCCTCCACTTGGTCTATTTTGCTATTGAAACTTGTGGTTGTATAGCGTAGTTCTTGTGTTGTGTTTTTTAGTTCCATCAGGTTAGTTAGCCTCCTTTTTAAACTGGCTATTTTTGTTATCACCTCCTGTATTGTTTTATTATGATTCTCAGCTACTTTGTGTTGGCTTAGAACGTGTTTCTTCAGCTAAGTGAAGTTTGTCATTATCCACCTTCCAAAGACTACTTCTGTCAGTTTAGCCATGTTAGCCGCAGCCCAGTTCTGTGCCTTTGCTGTAAAAGTGTTGTGGTCATCTGGAGGAGTAGGAGCACTCTGGCTTTTTCAGTTTTCAGCATTTTTGCACCATATTTTTCTCATCTTTGTGGGCTTATCTACCTCTAATCTCTGTGGTTGCTGACCTTTGAATAGGGTTCTGCGAGATCTTTTCCATTGATTTTGTTGTTGCTGCTTTTTGTTTCTTTGCTTTTTAAAGATTCAGGCAACTCAGGGCTTCTGTTCTTTCTGGGGGTCCACTTCAGACCCTAGTTGCCTTGGTTCCTCCCATACCTGAAGATCTCACCAGAACAGCAAAGATGGAAGCCTGCTCCTTCCTTTGGCAGCTCCATCCCAGGGGGCACCAGCCTGATGCTGAATACCCCTGTTGGAGGTGTCTGGAGACTCACGTTGGGAGTTCTTACCCAGTCAGGAGTAACTGGATCAGAGGCCTGCTTAAAGAAACAGTCTGACTGCCTCTTGGCATAGCAGGTGTGCTGCACTAATTTCCTGGCCTCTCCAGAGTCAGCAGCCTAGAAAGGCGAAGTCAACTGAACCACAGAAATAAGAGTTGCCCTTCCCCTGGGGACTCCATTTCAAGAAGACATTAGAGTTCTGTCCATATAAACCTTACTGGAGTCGCTGAGATTCCCACAGGGAGTCCCCACACAGTAAGGAGGTCCTGGGTCCTGAGATTGTTCTGGGTCCCACTTAAAGAATCAGTGTGGCCATGATCTGCACGGGAACTTTGTCCATCTCAGGCAGTCTCCAGGCTGCTGCTGCTGGTGAGCTCCAATTCCAAGCCAGTGGATCTTAACTTGTGTAGTGTCGTGGGAGTGGGGACTGCATAACCATGCCATTTGGGTTCCTATATTCACCCCTTTCGAGGGGAATGCATGGATGGATCTCTTACCTTGCCATAATTCCTGGGTCTGGAGTATGCAAAACTCCTGGGTCTCTGTGAGTGCCAGTTAGTGCAGTTAGTTACAAGTATTTGTTATAAATATGATATTTATTTACCAGAGTTACATAGAAGTTTAATGTCCAAAACTTTCTCTTTATATTGCCTGCAACTCTGAGAAATGAAATTTTATGTTGATTATTTTGCAAAGAATGCTAGGATAGTTCTTTACTACTTATTCTAACCACCTTGGGATTTTTATTCAGTGTGAGGAAACCGTTCTTCGTCCTTCAACAATTAAATACAAAGATTGATTATTGATTCTAGTCTAATCTGAAGAAAATGTACTGGAATACAACCTGAAAGTGACTTAGTACATGATATTGGCTGTTACAGAATTCCTGGGTCATAGAGCATACATATATGCAATTCAACTAAAATTTACTGCTACTACGAGCATTCTGTGATGGTTCTACATCCTTGCCTACGCTCAACTTACTCCATTTGTTTATTAGATATAAAGTTGTGCCTTAGTTTTGTTTTAATTGTAGTCCTCTGAATACTCATTATTTGGGCCTTTTTAAAATATCCTTGCTAGGATTTTGTGTTTGTAAATGTTTTTTCATGTGCTTTACCCATGTTTCTACTGAGATTACTGTTTTCCTAGTTGATTTAGTTGATTTGCAGGATTATCCTGCATATTGTAGATATCAGTACATTGTCCATTTTAGATAATTTATCTTCCTCAATTCTATGTGTAGTGTTAGTTTATTAGTTGCATAGCAGAAATAGTCAATAGTCAAACGTATCTTATTTTTGCCTTGCATTTAATACTTTCTAAGGATTTCTGTAACAATTTATTCCTTATCCTATGTTGCAAAGACATTCTTCCTTTTTTAGTATTAACATGATCAGTTTTTACTCAGATCACTAATCAGTTTTTGGAGTCTGCCTTTGTGTCATTTTTGGTAAGGTTCTATGGTTGTGGTGATCCTGAAAATGCGTGTCTCTAAGATCTCATGCTTTGGAGAATGTAATTGACAAATGGCTCAGCTTCTGTGCTGTGAGACCAATGCTGCACTCATACTGAGGCCACATTTCCCATGAGCTCCTCCTAGCCTGTGACTAAGCACAGCAGGGTTTTTAAGGTAAGCCCATTTCTGAAAGATGTGGAATTCCTTTGATGAGTCACTATGACTTGAGGACTCCCCAAAGGCTTGGCCAAATCTTCTTAAAACTGCACTGCAATGTGCAACTCTTTCTATCCAACTCTTTTTACTTCCTTCTATGCTACCCAAGGGTGGGAGCTGCATGGCATTAAGGGTCTCTATGACTCTTCCAGCAAGCATACTATTTTCTTCACAGAAGTTTTTTAAAATAATTATCTTGCACCTCAAATCTCATCTTGAGGTCTGATAGAGTGGTCTTAGAAAATGTGGAACTGATTAGCTCACCTCACTGTGTGTTGGGTGGAGGATGCCATGCTGAATGGCTGTAAGGCAGAGACAATCCCAAGCATAAGGTGGCAGGTGCATTGTAAAGGATTTCAGCAGCAGTAGCCTGGGAAAACTTTTTGGTGCTTCCTGATAGAGGGGACACCATTGTAGGTGACAGTCCAGGCAGCTGAAAGATAGAAGAGAAGAATGCCTCTTACAAAGATAGTGGAGTTGGCTGGTTACTGTTAAATTGCATCAGCATCCTGCATAGGGATAAGGAGAAACCGAAGACCATTTGAAATACGTTAAAGGCTAAGTGTGAGAACCAGTTACAAAAAAGCTCTTATTTCCTGCAAAGGAAGAATAGACATAGCCAAGCAGCAGTCTAAATATCTAATACTTAGATTCCCAGAGTTTGAATGCTTAGTCAAAGCTGATTTGATATGCTTTGGTCAGGGTCCTAATTGGAAAAACCCAGGGACTTGAAATACAAGATGGGACAACTGGATGGATGTCTTTGAGGATGCTGGTTCCGCAGACCCCCTGAGGCAGCTCTTCTCCCCTGCTGAAACATGCTATAGAGCTGTTTTTTGTTTTGTGTGAGACAGAGTCTTGCTCTGTCACCCAGGCTGGAGTGCAATGGCATAATCTCAGCTCACTGCAACCTCCACCACCCAGGTTTAAGCGATTCTCCTGCCTCAGCCTCCCAAGTAGCTGGGATTACAGGTGCATGCCACTGCACCCGGCTAATTTTTATATTTTTAAGTAGAGACAGGGTTTTGCCATGTTGGTCAGGCTGGTCTCGAACCCATGACCTCGTGATCCGCCCACCTCGGCCTCCCAAAGGACTGGGATTACAGGTGTGAGCCACTGTGCCCGGCAAGCTATAGAGCTATTTCTCCCAAAAGGCAACAGGTGCCTCCTCACGAGATATTCTCACCTCTTCATGACAACCAGGTCAGTGGCTCAGCTAGTAACATACCTGGCCTGATAAGGTAAAAAAAGAGACTACGTACTAAAAGAATTGTGAGAATTGGTGAGTATGTATTGGCTCCTGATATAAGGTTTTGAGAGTGGTTGATCATGGAGGACTGAATGAAAGATTGGATAAGTAAGAATTCATTCACTTAGGAGCACTTTCTCAAGACACGGAATTTGACAACCTAGCAAAAACTCAAGGAGCAAGCCTGCTAAGGTAGCTCTTAGCATCGTGGAGGAACCCAGATCCAGGATTGAATACAGATGAAATGTCCCAGTTGCCCTAGAAGACAGTAGAGAAAGAAATAAAGTGGCTGAGAAAAGTGGGCCTCTTGAAATGGATAATTATGTGAGGACAGAAGACCCACCAGGGGATCTGTTTCATGGGGAAGCCCAGAGGACATATCATTTATGAAAGTTACTAGAAATGGGCTGATGAGAAGAGCTTGAGAATAACGAAGAAGTTCAATGATTGCTCTCTGTTGCAGATGAAGGCTGCAACTACGGTCCTGAGATTGTCCTAGGGATGATGGAGCCTTGAAGTAATAGAGGCCAAGTGTCAGTGCTTAACTGCCAAAGCCAGGAACCCACAGTGAGCTTTAACAAACAGCAAGGTTGGAGGGACAGCTATGGAAGTTTTTCCCACAAAGAATTGTCG